TTGAAGAGCGGTGTGATTTTCTGTCCTGTACAACAGCACTCTTGATAGTCTTATTAAACTTTGGCCTCAATCACTTGGAAGGTGAGGGTTTGTCATTTGAACTTGGACGGTAAATTCCACCCTGAAACATTGATTTCGTGGCTGCCGAAGTGGAACTTGAAAGCAATTTTGTACCAATACAACATCTTCAGCAAAGGATTATTGGTCTAAGGACAGTCTAAGTGATCTCACCGATCCGCTAGCAGTTCATTGACAAACCTTACATGAGATCATCACAAAAGCCTGAAATAATAAGAAAATGTCGTGATATTGAAGTCGAACGAAGGTTCTGGTACTAGGGTTTTACACAACACGAATTGTATTTCTAAATCAAATGTGATTTTATCCCAAGCTTACGAATTTACTGCCAGTAACTAGCCTGGAAATGTAACATTATGGCGAAGCACATTACTCCTGAGTTACGCAACTATCTGTTCTCTCAGCTTGTATCACAAACTGAGTCTGAACAACCGGATATCACCCTCACAGATTGCATGGTTTAGTGAAGACTTCCCCTAATGCTGTTTAACTGAGTGTCTTTACTACTCCTTAAAACTGTAAGAACGACCCAAATATACCAACGCTTGAGAAATGCCTACGGAATTCCAGCCTTATGTAGACTGCCGATAGTTTAAAGGGAGCAAGATGATTTATCGATACAAATGCTTTATCTGCAAACACGGCTCTCATTGACGCTGTAAATATTTTATTTGATTTCTTTGAGACCCAGCCATATCTTAAGCCGTTAAATATTTAAATCGAGGAAGGTCTCACCTTTTTACGTGATCAAAATCCTAAGTTTCATTTGCAACGGGACGGTGTGATGCTCTATGCTTATGAATTCAGTTGGACTAATCTTGGTAGATCCATTTAAGGCCAATTTACGGCACAGCGCACAGACTGATATTCAAGCTGTTTTCGTTTACAAAAGTTATTTGGATGATAGTTTACTCACTGCCCATCCAAACGTATTCTGTTTTTTATTAAACCTCATCAAAACAGTTTTACTTGTGAGTCTGAACAACAAAACTGGTCTCCCTTTTTGAAACCTCGCAGCCCGAAAAAAGCCAAGTGGTTTAGTGTCACATACCGTGTGCAGTACAGTACTCTTGCAATGCAAACGTTCACTGGTGTACATCTGTTCCTAAAGCCACATGAACCTGCACGCCGGGTATATTCATTGAGGATATTCTACTTCTCAAATGTATAATACGGTTTAATAAAGACCTGAATCGCATCACTGACAAGGGACTCCATTGAAAACTGCCTAGTACTGATGCATGAGCGCTGTTAATGAGAAAATTAGATGTCACACTGTGAGTGGCGAATTATGCCACACGTCTCAGGCTGAAACGATATTCCAAAGCGTACCAACAGCCGCTGTCCGAAACGACAGAGCTTGTTCTATCCGGTAGCCATTCTATCTAACAAGTGGCTTGCAGTTGCAGTGGAAATCCTATCTGGATAATCGGTTAAAGCCTTGAGAGACGGACCAAAAATTTGTGCTGTGCTGTGGATTGAGAACACTAACATAGTTTCAGTTGATTAATAGATCGGTTCATGGGATGCGAAGAATAGGAAATGCACTCATTAGTTCAGAGTAATGCAATCGGCCTAATAGATCAAAATTCCTCAAGGCATTATTGTTAAGTTGAGCAAAGCCAGTCCTATGCCCACAGAAATATTTGAGTGCAACCCTAAGATTAACGCAACTTTCTTCATTGACAAGATCGCGTTATATCTGAGATCCTGTCTAGTACTTGGTTTTCAGAATGTGCTCGGATCTTTCAACTTCCAGTGGAGAATTGATTTGTTCTCTGTTCACACTTTTGTAAACACAACCTTATGGAGACAAACTCTGAGCAGCGGAGCACATAATAAAGGTAACATAATGAGCAAGTCATGAGATGTATTGCTGGTTTCGATTGCGTCATACTCACGATATGTAAGACGATTCATTTTGGCAGCCTACTGGAAGGCAGAAGGCCCAATGAGGGTGTGGGTTCCCACAGAGTTGAAAACAGCAATGAATTCGGTCAACCAACTAAAAAAAGTCGGGCGAAACGTAAGAGTCTAATATTGTTAACAACGCACCAATGATGAAACGATTTATTAGCGAATATACACTCATCTGCAAACTAATTTGGTTCCTTCGAGAGACTCACCTGGAACCCAGCTGAATCTCTCGTTTATGATGTTCTCAGGCAACCGAATGTGCTGCACCAAGCCGCCTCATGTTTCAGTCGCTACGATATTTGAAACATCGCGATACATGTATATATTTGTAATGTACTACACATAAGGTTGCTGAAAATCCATCGAAAGCCCACGACCAAATGAGCGTATGTTTGCTTATTTCGTGTAATTTGGTTTCAAGTAGAACAAAAGGTTGACGGAAACCCGGGGACTGCGCCTACCTGATGAGCCCCAAGAAGGGCGAAACCGGTCGTGGGCTGTCGATGGATTTTCAGCAACCTTATGAGTAGTACATTACAGACGATTTATTGTTCAAAAGGAGTCACTTGCATACTGTCCATAACGTTTTTGCAGAAAGTTTTGCTTTCGTTTTCTTCTGTTTCATTTACCCGTTTCAAATCTGTCTGCATTTCCTCGTGGTGTCCCCAGCAAAATATGAACTTCGACACTTTATTTCTTTGGTATACAATTTGATGCAATGAGAAAATAGGTTGGATATAGCCATAAAAATGTGAGTGGATCCCTATTCGTTTCTTTTCACTGTTCTATGTTACATCTAGCTCCCCACTGGGAAGTCATGAAGCGACTTGCTAGGGCATGCACATTAGTCATGATGGCCATTGATGCCGAAAAACTGAGGACAGTGGGGGGAAAGCAGTGGATCTCAAGGCTTACATAAGCAATACATTGGTTCTCCCTAACGGTGAGGTTTTGGGTCCCCACAATGAAATGCCACTATTTCCCTTCCATGCAGTGATACCAAACAATCGAAAAAAGCGGCGACCCTACACGCGGTTCCAAACTTTGGCTCTGGAAAACGAATACATCGAAACCTCGTACATCACCAGACAGAAACGGCTAGAGATATCCTCTAGGCTGCACTTGAGTGAGAGGCAGGTAAGGTGTGGTTTTTATCCCCAACACTAATTCATCAACTTGAATGAATAATACTGATTTAAGGATAACTTCAGAAGCGGGATTTCACGGAGAAGGGAGAAAAGGGCACTAGCAAGGAAACCCGGTCCAGACTGGAAAACTTGGAGGCACTTACCTGGAGACATTAGTATTTCGCAAATGGGAGTCTCTGGTAAAGAGCATGGGGTCTAAGTCCCAGACCTTCCGTTAAGTGCTAAAACGCTCATCATTCGGTAATGTGATTAATTCAAAATTTTCTGAAGTACCCCTAGTAGTCTTCGGAGAAGGAAAAGACAACCCGCAAGTCGCGATTGGCTTCCATCTGGGAGATTAGCACACACACGACAAAATGATGTGAATCAGGCAAGTGAAGAGTAAGCGGCGTCAAAACTTGTTAATTACACTGTGGAGTGATCGTTTTTGGCTTAGCGGTATAGTATTTAACTATTAACCACAGAGCCATGAACTGTTGATAGTCTCCTACAGAAGCGAAACCATTCCACAGTGCTTTCCTACTTCTGAAGGTACGATGGCTTCCTCCATTGGATGTAAACTTTACTAAAATTTAAAACCGAAAAATCCGAACTTTGCAGTGTGGGACATGTATATAGGAAGCCATCAGGAACATTTCTTCGAAACCTAATCACTGATCTTGGGTGACGTAGATTCTGAGCACGACTACTGGTTTTAAATTATCAGTTTTAGTAGAATTTTGCCAGAGCTCTTGATAGCTCAGTGTCAAGGCACAGTCTACTGGCCGGATCATCCATATTTTAAACCCGACCCTGGTCTCTAGACCGTTCCTGCCATCCAGTTAAGTGCAAAACAAACTGACATGGTCGATGAGCACAGGAAAGTTGAACAACTTCCAACAACATGAAAAAGACAAGATGTAAACGCATGAATGCAAAGAAAGGGGGAACAAATAGATTACAGGCCCCAAATCTAATGCGATATTCAAACAAAAAGAAGCCAGTTTGGTGAAAAGTCCACCGAGAAAAAGGATTCCTCAACAGTGACCAAATAACCCCCCTCTCCATTGTACTTTTCTCCGTATTGATTGTTGTATATAATGACATCAACTAAACCAACCAAGAAAAACCTGCATGCACTTAATTTATACCAATCAAGGTAGATGACGGCGGATGCAACTTGTCTTAAGCATCAAGCGATATTAAGATTTAATTTGAATTCATGATTTCGTAATAGTGTTACAACACGTTAACCTGTCTCGGTCAAAAGTTGTTTTCTTCCTAACAAGTTAACTTCATCTACTGCCGAGCAGGACAAAAATAGTCAGCAAACGATTGTGAGCCTCAAGCACCCAGAGTTATTGGTCTGTCTCATCTGTTGTTCCCACACCACCAACCCGGCAAGACTGGGTGAAATGCATATGAATCTTTCCATCCTCCACCACAGGTGAAAGTATGGTTTCAAAATCGACGAATGAAGAGTAAAAAACTAGAATCGCGTGCCAAAGCGGGAATCATCGACATATATAACAAAGACCTGGAGATCGATGCACCCACAGCTACTGAACTACCTCGACCCCCTGAAAAAACAGAAATCCTCGAAAATGTGAATGAATCTCACATAAACAATGACCGAACAGACGGAAGTGCCACAACCAACTTTCCAAACTTTCCCGGATGCCCCTTTAAATTTTCAGCAGCAGGTTTGTCCCAATCGATATATAAGCCAACAAACTACTTTTATGGAGATACATGGTTCCTACCTGCAAATACAGCGTCACCATTGTCAAATGAAAATGAAAATGGGTTCGCGTACGGTAGTAGGGGAAAACCCCAGTTTCCCTCGGGTCAGACCGAGGAATTCACTTAGTAGTCCTTTATGTTATTCTGTTGATTTGAGGAACAGAGTTGCGCGGAATAAAATTTTTGTTTGAAGGCTCCTTCTAATTGCGTGTTACTTGACAGTGGAAAGCGTGATAAACCTGCCCTTTCTCAGAGGATTTCTCCTCTTGCCCAGCAAATTGCGTCAAACGAGGTAAGACAGAAAATGAAGTAGTTATCCAGCAGCCGGAGCTTGCCGTGGTTCACTGAATTGCAGACTCAGATTCCCCACCAGCAGATAAAGCAGCTGTCCAGAACACCGGCTGGCTACAAGGAACGGTTGTCGTCTCATTATAGACAGCGAGTTATTTCAAGAAAATGCACCACATAGATGGCTACACAGTTTTTATGGGGCCAGCCATCTTAACGGAGGTCCCGTTGTTGTGCTCCATTTTAGACTATTCCAAAGGCCGAAACTCCAAACTCCATTTATCGACACCCCGACCGCGAGAGTACACATTTGCAGTTAGGATAACTTTAAGATATAGTCATCAACGAAACAAGCTTTTGACAGACTGGAGAAGACGGGTTGCATCAGTGTATTGCACAGTGACACTCCTGCTTTCGCTTACTCTACTGGTTTCTGAGATAGAGTCAGTCTATATCAGAGATGTTTCTTAATATTGTTACTAACTAGTTTCAGTCGTCAACATCAAAAGTCGGTCACTGAGGTGGACAACAACTTGCATTCAGACAAGAAAACGGCGAAATCCTCAATCGGTCTATTAAGTGAAACCATTTTCGAAAACAATTAGCATAACCGCTGAGAATTCCAAGCCGATACTGCAGAAATAATGTGTGATTGGGGCTCACACTGAAGCCCCAGTTTGTGATTAGTGCTTCCTAATATGACCGCGTTTTTTTCACCGGTTGGTACTGTTCGCTTGTGTGTAGCTAGCGATCCTTGAACATTCTTTAGCGCTTTAACTTGACAAGAAACAGATGTCACCAAGACCGCTTCTAGCGTGTGGTTCTCCTTTCACAGGTCTAGCGACCTGACAACGCAATAAAGTCAGACCGATTGTCATACTCCGAGGACGAACAAGGTTTACAGAGTGAGTGAAATGCACCTTTTAGTGTCCGGTTAACCCACTCCGATTCCAAAGTCTGGGTTAGCTGCACAACTTCTTGATAACGCTGTATGGTTGCAGCTAGGTGACTCGGGAATCAATAATTTTGTCCCTCGCGCCTTCCCACAACTACCCTCAAAGACATACCACCACATGACCTCTATTGACGAGATCCCATAAGTGGTGACAATGAAAACGAGTTTTCCGTGCTATTTTGAGGTTGACGACCAATGGTTTGTCCGCTGAACGCCGATTCCAAATCGACAGCAATGATTAGTTGAGAACGGCCTTAGTAAACTGGGAGAATAGGATCAAACGTGGGTCCAAAGGTCACTATAGTGGTTCCGTTCGACAATTCTCAGCGCACTGCTGTTTCTTTAGATCGTACTCGTTCATGCAAAGGCCAGTGTTGATGAAAGCGGTGCTGAGGAGCAACATTTAACCATGCTAACGTTTATGAGGTGTCACTTATCAGGTCGCCTTCTCATGCCACGGATTACCGACAAGTGACCCAATTTCGTGTCTCAGAGAATAAATTGACCAACATCCGACGTTGACCACATGGGTATGAGGGCTATCTAAAGCCCGCGACATTGGAAACAGAAATGGAATGATATCTGTGAGATTCTTGCAACCAAATACCGCGATTTGAGACATTCAAGTAGTTATCTTGGTCTCATATGGGAGATAGTCAAAGTATGTAAGTGCACACACTCAGCATGGTTTCATGGTACATTGCCCCATCATGATGCACTACCGGCACGGTACGATTTAATTTCATCGTGAGTTGNTGAGCCTGCTGAACCTCCTGTTGGACAGAGAATAACAGACAGCTGGTCGCATCCAACAAAGTTAATGTAAGTTGTGCAGATTGCTTATATAGGAACCTTCAGAAGGTTACTAAAACGTTCCACCGCATATCGACCGCTCACTCTCCCTCACTAGCCGTTATTCTCATATTTAGCTTAGACGAGTTATTCCTACACAACACAACCAATCGCGCTGCGCCCACGTGTACAAATACTACGCGCCCCAGCCGTTGGGCCAGATTAACTCAGCTGTGCATTTTGCTAGGTTTGTGTTGCAGCGTGAGCTGATTTGCACCGTTGGCAGGTTGTCAAACGGAAACCGCAGTCTACTCTTGCATCCCACACGCGCACTAGGTGGTCAGTAGCCCTCAGTCCTGATTTCGCTAGTGTGAATGACAGGCCGTCACCTCGATCTTTGCCCACATGACGCCAAGTCCGGATAGAAAAGAACCCTAATATCACTAGAAAACTACACGATTACTACCGACATCTACCGCCTATGAAGTAAAATCTACAATAGATGAGATGATCGAACGCTGCATAGCTGGTTGGAAGGAATCGACCGAGAACCAAGAGGGATGGTTAGTTGAACACGGTGATCAGTGCCATAAAGAATCTGTGCGATCTACTGATGCCTAAATGCACACTTGGCTGTCAAAGTTTGTATGAGAAGGTGAGTAATCACAACAGTTCCTAAGGTTAAGTAAAACGCTACTCATTGATCTTGTTCGGGATCCCAACCTTCACTAGCGGACGCGCGTAACTGATTAATGCACGGTCGTGCAGTTAGGTAAGTAAGCTAAACCAGTACAACAGCGATGCCTTATAAGGGCGATACTAGTCCACCATGTCGAGCTCCGGTATACGTCTTTGTTTCTTCCTGTAATTCAAGGTTAAACACAATTTTACTTGAGGCATCCGGCGTTAAAGCGGTAGCCGCTCTAATAAAAACGTCATAAATTACTACCTTAGGTGTCAAGATCCCCCGGATATCGGCAGATTTTCATGAGGTTGAACCATCCCGCTTTCTCTCGAACAAAGCTGAGGTGTTTTCATATTTTCAGGTGTGAGTCATGTTCGGGTTAATTAGCACTAACAGCATTTTTTTGCCTAGCCGATGACAGAAAATCAGTTGCACGAAGAGGCCGAAGAGTGCACTATTCATGAACCTGAAAAGAGTAAGAATGTTTTTTCTCAGTATAGCGTAACCGGGGGACTAATGACAACAGGTCGGAACGATCGGGTTTGATTTAACCACGAGAGATTCACCGAGGTTCCAGGTGAGTCTCCCGCAAAACCAAAATTGTTTGCAAATGAGTGTATTTCGCTATTATAATTAATGGTACGAGAAGTTTGGAAGTTATTTCTGGAGCTAATGTGGATGATTCTCCAGTAGGCAACGAATATGCTCGCGCATGCAAGTAGAAAGGAGTATAAGGGAACACCGAGAACTCTACTGGACAATGGAGGCATATGAAATGGAGAAGACTTTTGTCGTCTAATACTACTTAATGCGGTCGACGGGTCGAAGGAAAGCAATCGTCAGCGAAAGGACGAGAGAAATGGGTGGTTGAGTGATCTCATTCGGAAAACGCCGCTTGGAAATGGTCCAAACCGTTCAAAAAAGATTTTGGTTGGCTCTTCTATGGAGGAAAATGTTGGTAGCTCAGTTAAGGTAGATGGTCGTTGGCTTATTCTCTGAGCCGGGCAATTTGATTGCAAACGTTTCATCACCAATCGAGGTGACACCATCAGTGCGTTATTGGGGAGCGTAGTTGTGCGTTGAGTAGTGTTGTGTGTGTGTTAATATACGTCCTGTTAACCTGGGGTGACCTTTGACCGCGATTAGTTGTTCGGTCGGGCGGTTCCATTGGTTGCTCTGTTATCCCGTATCCCCATTCGCCGATGTCCACGTGACCTTTGAGCTTGGCATCCATCGCCGTCGTAATCTGGTCGATGCTGGGATGACCTTTGTCCTTCCGAGCTCCGGCTTGTGGTCTTTATTGGTTTGATTCCGATGAGTTCCTTGTTTCTTTGTTTGTGGTCTTCCTTGGGTGTTCCGGTTGAGATGTTGCTCCTTTGCACGTAGAGGCGCGTAAATTGGATCCAGTTCGATGCACCGGTTTATTGAACCAGTCGTAGAGTACCATGCTTCCAGAAATTCTCCTCCGTGTCGCGTGTCTCCGCATGCCAAAATTTTCAGCGTTTTCCAGATTGAATTTGTGGCCTTCTCGGTTCTCGTGTATAGATATCAAGGACAGGGGGTCATGCCTCCTGACAGCCGCGTTGTGTTCCTTTTTTCGGGTGCATAACAATGGATATCCATTGTTCTGAACCACGCTGAATATATGGTTTTCCTCCTTCTTCCGGAGTTCTGTGGTGCTGCAGTGTCACTCCGCTCTCTTGAACAAGGTTTTGATACAGCTCTTTTTGTGGTTTACTGGAAGATTGCTGTTGTAGTTCAGTATTTGATCCGTATGAGCCTCTACGGTATACCGTACACCGTACCGGAACACCCAAGGAAGACCACAAACAAAGAAACAAGGAACTCATCGGAATCAAACCAATAAAGACCACAAGCCGGAGCTCGGAAGGACAAAGGTCATCCCAGCATCGACCAGATTACGACGGCGATGGATGCCAAGCTCAAAGGTCACGTGGACATCGGCGAATGGGGATACGGGATAACAGAGCAACCAATGGAACCGCCCGACCGAACAACTAATCGCGGTCAAAGGTTACTCCAGGTTAACAGGACGTATATTAACACACACACATAACACTACTCAACGCACAACTACGCTCCCCAATAACGCACTGATGGTGTCACCTCGATTGGTGGTGAAGCGTTCGCAGTTTTGTTGGCTATCTGCATTATAGGCCCTGGAGACAATGCATATGGTCAAACGGAATTTACACCATGCTTGACCGTCAGACCAAGAGATAAAGCGGCAATTATTGCTTCTGGGAATTGGGAAGCCATCAAAACTAGAGGGTTTGTAATCAGCTCTCTTCAACGAATCTCTGGTCGCCCACGCGACACAACGTATTGGTTTTATGTGCATGTCAACAACAATCTCCGTGATAAAAAACGATCAGCGAACACTGAAAACTAGGTGGCATTGGTCTCGTAGCCGTCCCAATCCTACACGGAGATATGTGAAAAACAATCTGCTTCCCGTCCAGTAGAAAGGTGTATTGATTACATATCCACTATCCAGTAAAGCCTGAAGCAGCGGCACCACTTCCAGCAGTCAACAGTGTTAGTCTTCCTTGACTTGAAGAGTGTCTTTGACCCTGTCGATCATCAGTCAATATGGCAGTGTCTGTGCCGCAGATACGTCCTCAGTAAACACTTAGCCTTCTTTGAGAAATATTACATCATATTCTGTGAGTGCTTGAAGGCTCACCGAGAAATCTCACTTAAATTCATTATATTCATTGGCATCAGGTAAGAATACATCCTTTTAGCGAATATACACTCAGTTGCAAACTAATTTGGTTCCTTCGAGAGACTCACCTGGAACCCAGCTGAATCTCTCGTTTATGATGTTCTCAGGCAACTGAATGTGCTGCACCAAGCCGCCTCACATTTCAGTCGCTATGATATTCGAGATATCGCGATACATGTATATCTTTGTGATGTACTACTCATAAGGTTGCTGAAAATCCGTCGGCAGCCCACGACCGGCTTCACCCTTTTCAGGGCTCATCAGGTAGACGCAGCCCTCGGGTTATCGTCAGCCTTATGTTCTACTTGGGACCGAAGTGCACGAAAGTTTATTCTACGTTGGACAAACTGGGAGGGAATTATGCACCCGAAAAAAGGGACACAACGCGGCTGTCAGGAGGCATGACCCCCTGTCCTTGATATCTATACACGAGAACCGAGAAGGCCACAAATTCGATCTGGAAAACGCAGAAAATTTTGGCATGCGGAGACACGCGACACGGAAGAGAATTTCTGGAAGCATGGTACTCCACGGCAGAATCGATCAACCGGTGCATCGAACTGGATCCAATTTACGCGCCTTTACGTGCAAAGGACCAACATCTCAAGTAGAACATAAGGTTGACGGAAACCCGGGGACTGCGTCTACCTGATGAGCCCCGAAAAAGGCGAAACCGGTTGTGGGCTGTCGACGGATTTTCAGCAACCTTATGAGTAGTACATTACAAAGATATAAAACGTATACTTTTTTCTGTATGGCTATCATCGATGTTATCATGAAAGAGTGACACAGATTTCACTTCTCGTGGAGTCGAAATGCTTTCAGGGGGTTGGCCCACAGATATCGGATACAAAGTCGATATGGCCCTTGTTGGATCTTCTGCT